GTCTGCACTTAAGGCAGAAGAACCTTATGTGTAAGCCTCTTTCAGAAAGAAAGTGAAGGGGGCTGGGGCTGCAGCTCAGTGGCAGAGCACTTGCCTAGCATGTGTGAGGCACTGGTTCGATTCTCAGCACCACACAAATAAATAAAGACGTGTTTCCATCTATATATGTATGATTTTTTTAATTGATTGATTTTTAAATTATTTTTTAAAAGAAGAAAGTGAAGGCCGAGTGGCATAGAGTCAAGGACTGGGGACAAAGAATCTGGACAACAGACCAAGACATCTGGTAGAATTGAGCTAGTTCTTATGAAGGCTCATCCAGAACATAAAACACTAATCTGCAGGGAAACACTCATCGCAAATACTCCTCCTCCCAGGAAACAGCTGTCGCTTTACCCCTTCACCATTTCCCCCACTGAAGAGAAAGGAACAGGGCCGCAGACCACTCAGAACCCAAATGAAGGAGAGAATGTTGTGTGGTTCATGGGGGGGACAGCATTTGTTTGGAGCCAACAGAAGTAGCAAAATAGCCCTGAAGAGTCAATGATGTCAGGTCCAGCACGACACCTGGCAGTCCCAGGACTCCACCGTGAGTGCAAGAAGGGTGACCCAGGCGGTCTTCTCCAGGTTCCCACCCAAGAGGAAAGAGCTGGTGGTATTCAGACTGGCTTTGAGATTGCAAGCTGAGACAGAAGGTGGTCCCCTCCCAACTGGGGAGGAAAGAGAGTGGGAGGATTGTTGTCCCATGTGAATGGGAGACCAATCCCCGGCTGCAAAAGGCTGAGCAGAGGTGGGCTGGCCTCAGCTGGCTCCACCCCACCTACCACAGAAGCACTTGCGAAATCCCTCTCAGCCTGTCACTAGCCTGTCACGGGTCAGTATTCCAGCTCAAGGACTTTACCCTCTTGTCCCCACTCCTGGTCATTGCTCTCTCGAATGAAATCAGAGGTAAGCACTGACAATAAAGGAGCTTCAGCTCCACCTTCCCCCTCCTGCCCAGAATCACTCACAGACACACGCACATTCCAGGCCTCGGCACACAAGGGCACTGCCCCTTCCCCCTCCACCTTAGCCAGAATAAATATTTAATTAGTTCAAGAGATGGAACCCTTTTGAACTGAACAAAATTAAATATAACTTCCCACAGCAGAACTTTCTACACACATATACATGCAATTTTTCACAAAGAAAAATAGAAAAATCAAAGAAAGGACAAGGATAAAAACTTGAGAAGGGACATGCGGAATCACAAAGCATGTTTGAACACCTTCGCCTCCCCTCTTCCTTCCCACCTTCTTCTGTTTTGCTCAGCCTGACTGGAGGTGGGGAACTGTAACTGACCCAGTCATCTGCTCTTTTTTTTTTTTTTTTTTTTGAGAGAATTTTTTTTTTAATATTTATTTTTTAGTTTTCGGCAGACACAACATCTTTGTTTGTATGTAGGGCGTAGTGCTGAGGATTGAACCCGGGCCGCACGCATGCCAGGCGAGTGCGCTGCCACTTGAGCCACATCCCCAGTCCCAATCTGCTGTCTCTTGAGGCCCAATTTTTCCATAAATTAAAGCCCAGGGAACAGGCAAGCTTCCACTCTGAACCTCATCTCCATCCCAGTCAGTGGAAACTGGCAAAGGTGGGTCTCTGGTCGGGGTGTTTGAGGGGTAAGGGTTCAGAGGGCTAGCTAGGGACCTGGAGTGAGCCTCTTCTCCTGGACTCCTGGGGCCCAGGAATGTCTTGCACCTGTCTGATCCCTACAAAGATGAGCTGGGGAGGGAGGCACCACAGGTGTCAGAGAACCTACAAAGTGTACCCACTTCAGCTCAAGACAAGACAGCACCCACATTCTTCCACCCCAGGCATGGAGGGTAAAAGACAGGTGTGTGAGAGAGTATGTCAGGAGTTCCGAGATGCAGATTAATGGGGCTCTCACAGGCTTTCTGTGATCACAGCCCTCCCATGCTGTCCTTCACTTCCATTAGCCTAGAAGCACTACCCCTCCCAGCAGTGGGTTCAGGGGGTTAGGACTTCTGGCTCCACAGGAGGCAAAGGATGACAAGTGGGGCTCCTAGCCGCCCCACCTACACTCCCCCCGCAGAGCCAAGCAGCCCGTCTGTTCCCGGTGGCAAGCCTAGCAGCTTCCTGGCACCTGTACATCAAGCCAAACAAGGAATCCCATAAACAAGAGGCCAGGGCAAGAAAAGGTCAAGGTACAGGGAAGACCCTGCCTTTTGGCCCCCTCAGCCCTCAGGGCAGACACTTGATTTTCTGGCAGAGAAAATCACACCCTTTTCGACCTACAGAAATTACACCCCCACACGGGGCGCAGTGGTGCACACCTATAATCCCAGTGGCTCAGGAGGCCGAGACAGGAGGATCACGAGTTCAAAGCCAGCCTCAGCAAGGCTGGGGATGTGGCTCAGTGGTCAAGTGCCCCTGAGTTCAATCCCTGGTACCCCCAAAAAAGAAATAGATTACATCCCCCATATGAAGAGAGATGGAGTGGGTGAGCATGTGTGTGTCTCCCTTACACCACACACCTGCCTCAGAGACACAAATGCTCTGCAAGCTGGAGAGGGGCCAGTGGGGCAGGGGCTTCAAGTATCAGGTTACCTTGAACATGAGCAGTGTTCTGCTGAGCCCCGATCTCCACCCCACCTCTGTCTGACCACCCCCCCAAGACTCCTGTAGGTGGATGAAAAGAGTAGGGGGACTCCATGGGAGCTGACAGAGCAGAAATTTAGCCTGTGAGAAAAGAATTCTCACAGACTCAATGTAATAACAGTCCCACTGGCTCTCAGAGTTTGGTAAAATAACTAAGGAAAATACAAAGGGGCCCTAAGAGTCAGAGAGTGTGAAAAAGGGTCTTGCAAAGCCTAGGAACTACAAAAACATGGCATGCTGGTGAGGTGGTGCATGCCTGGTAATCCCAGCAACTCAGGAGGCTGAGGCAGGAGGATCACAAGTTCAAAACAGCCACAGTAACTAAGCAACTGAGTGAGACCCTATCTCAAAATAAAAAAATAAAAAGGGTTGGGAATGTGGCTCAGAGGTTAAGTGCCCCTGGGTTCAATCCTTGGCGTGCGCACACAGCCATGCAAGAAGTCCTGAATAGTCTTCCTTGTTGAAAACTTTCCTTCCAGGCAGCAGATCTCAAACTGAACTAGAAGGCTGCAAGCAATGTGTGAGTGAAGAAGAGGTGTGTCATGAATCCAACAGCAGCACAGGCCCAGAAAGTTGGGTCAAATTCTGGGAAAGATGGGGGTGAGAGGCAGAAAAACAGCTTGGGTCCTCAGGCTCATCTGGCCTACAGCTTGACAGGGATGTCAATCCAAAAGTCCCCAGGGCCAGCTTGTGAAGAGGCAGCTGAGGGTAGGGATGGGGGCCTGATTTACAGAGAAAGCCAGCCTGACCAGTGGCTGGACAATGAGGAGGCCCTACCTTTCAGGGTGAAATTTGGCCAGAGGCCGCAGTTAGTCGAAGAGTAGGCTGTGGGATGCCAGGAGACAAAAGGCTCGCTCTGTCTGGAAAGCGTCTATACAGGTCTCTGTATGGTCAGAGCCAGGTCCCAAGGGACAGGGATCACAGGTGCAGTCGGCCACTCACACTCAGGCCCAGTCGCCTCAACTCTGGTGTTGAGCAGAGGGCCCACAAGCCCCTGCTGGAACCCAGACAGGGTGACTGCTTGCTGCAGGCCTTCCCTCCTCCTTCCCTCCTGGGCGCTCTGGGGAGAGAGGCCCTCAGCGCCTGGGGACTCACGGAGCTCTGAGACCTCGGCGGCCAGGGGATGAAAGCAGGTATTGATGTCCGGAGCCTGGCACGGGGAGAGAGGAACTCGCCAGCTCGGCCAGAGATTAAGGCCACACACCTGCAGTCAGCCCACTTTGCCAGAGGGCCTCGGAGCCAATAATTAGCAAGTTACGGCCCAGAAAGCCAGTTTCTCTGGCTGCTCCCCGCCAGCCACACACCCCATAACGGTCTGGGCGCCTGGGCCCCGGGGGCCCGGGACGGCGCCCGGAGCCGCTCCTTCCTGCTTCCCGTTAAGCACATGGACGCTCGGGGCTCTCCCGCGGTGGGCTCAGTGGGCCGGTAATTAGAAGGGGCAGCCGGATCCTGCTCTGCCCCGCAGTCCTGCCACGGGGGCGCGAGCAGCCGGGGGCGCCACCGCGGCTCGGGGCTTCCGCGCGAAGGTCACCGAGCCTCTCCGCTCCCCAACAAAGGGGCGCGGTGGCCCCTGGGCGCCGGTGGCCCCACGGCCCAGCCCCTTCCTGCTGCCCAGCAGGGCTCCCCGGCCCGGGGCGGCGCGGGGAGCGCCGGGGGACCAGGCCGGGCTGGCCGGGCGGCGCTGGGGGCCCCGCGGCTGGGAGACGCGCCGACCCGCCCTCCCGCCGCCCGCCGCCATGAGCGCCGGCAGGGCCCCCGGCGGCGACCTCCGCGCACGGCCGCCCTGGGGAGGCCTGTCCTCGGCCGACCCGCGGCCCCCGGCCGGGCCCCTCGGCGAGCACGTCCGCGGCCCCTTCCCGCCCGCGCCCGGGCGCCGACTCACTCGCCGCGGCGTCGCGGAGCTGGCCCAGCGGGCGCCGCTGCTCCGTCCCCTCGTCCGAATCGGGCCTCCGCGCCCTCGGCCCGCGCCGCGCTCCCCCTTCCGCCGCCGGCCCGCTCCTCCTCCTTCCTCCTCCTCCTGCCGCCGCGCCCAGCGCGGGGAAGGGAGGCCGCGGCCGCCGGGAGCTGGAGACTGGGCGTGGGCCTCGGGAGGGAAGGGCCTCGGGCGGGGCCCGCGGAGCGTGCGCGGCGAGCGGCCTCCGGACACCCGCGGCTCTGCGGCCGCGAGAGCGGAGCGCGCTGGGCCCGGGACCGGCCCACGAGCTGCCCGAGTACCGGGGGCGGTGGCGCCCTGGCCCGCCGCGCTCGCCCCCACCGCGGTTTGCGCCCAGCCCCTCGGGGCCACTGCCGCCCTCCCACCACGGTCCCCGGGCCGCGCCGGGCGGGACGCCTCTCGGGCGCGCCCGGGCAGCAGCCCCCCGACTGCCCCCAGTAAGAGGCGCGCGCTGCACCCCGCGCCGTGGCGCTGCCTGGGTGGCAGCACCCCTTCCCGCACGCACGCCCTACTGCGGGAGAGGGCAGAGAGACACCCTCCGGCTGGCTTGTGAAATGTCGTGCGCCACGTCCACGCGTGTCCGATCCCCCGTGGAAACAGCCCTTAAACAGCCCGACCTTGAACCCGGCGCGCCTGCAGCCTGAGGGGGTGCTGGGGGGGATGCGCCCAGAGCTGCAGGCCAGGCCGACTTCCGACCTTCCACTTGCCCCTCGCAGTGAGACCACCTGCCCAGGCTACCAGGCAAGAAAAGGGGACACTGGATCGGTCCCCGGCGGGACCCTGCGGGCTTTTCCAGCCACTGCCGGCCTGATTTTTCCCAGTTCCCAGCAAGCTCTGGTCCTGTTTTCCTATGCCCCTGGTCTGAACTCCTCTCTTTCTAGGACATCTTCAACAGTATCTTTCTTCCCACTTGTTACTCTCCTTTCCTGAGCCTTCCAATTCCTCGGTTCTCTTTCTCCAGTGCAGTCCCTAGAGTACTTACCCGCCACATGCCCACACTAGGTGATCCACAGGGTTCCAGTGTCTAACCCCCCAGGCCCCTGGGCTACTTGTCTCCCCTCTTTTCTCAGAGGATTTTCCTAGGTTCCATGCTTTCCCATATTCACCACCAGACTTTTAAAAGCCTTCCTCAGGGGGACATTTAACTGTCCTGGTTAGTCTTTATTTATTTATTTATTTTTCCTAAGATAGCAGTGGAGCGGGGCTGGGGTTGTAGCTCAGTGGTAGAGCACTTGCCTAGAATGTGTAAGGCCATGGTTCCATCCCCACCACTCAAAACAAAATTATATACATGAGTATATGTTTATATGTGCAAATTATTTATATAACCGTATATATGTAAATTACATAAATATTTATAAATATGTAAATTCATACAGAGTATTTGTGTGTGTGTGTATGAAAAGTGAGCAGTGGGGAGAGGAAGTTTTAGGGCAGAAGTTGGATAATGAAAGCCTGAGAAATAAAGATAAGAAGATATACCCCTCCCCTGGGACACAAAGGAGAAAGTCAAGGGAGGAGGGGAAACTTGGCCTCAGCCAGGATTGGGAGGATGCTACACTGCCCTGCCTTGACTGGACACGATTATGATCACTACCCTTCCAACCCAACCCCCACCACAGGCTGGTATGCCACACCCACAGTGCCCCAAGGGAGGCCTGCCTTGTCATGACTCACTTCCTCTATGTGGGCTGCTGAGGTGTCCCAAGGCAGAGGACAAGCCACCAGGCCAGAGTTTGGGTATCTAAGAGAGCTTCTGGAACGGGAGAATCCATGGAGCTCAATTGTGAAAGGTGGGTGTGTCCAGGACAGGGCAGCAATACAACACAGAAGTAGGGAGTAGAGTCTGCCTAGTATCGGGTATCTGATCACACTCAGGTGCCAGGAGCTATAGGGAAAAGTTTCCTAACAAGAAGTAAAATAACCAAGCTGTGTGTGGTGGTGCATGCCTGTAATCCCAGCGGCTGGGGAGGCTGAGGCAGGAGGCTTGTGAGTTCAAAGCCAACTTCAGCAAAAGTGAGGCACAAAGCACTCAGTGAGACCCTGTCTCTAAATAAAATACAAAAAAGGGCTGGGGGTGTGGCTTAGTAGTCCAGTGCCCCTGAGTTCAATCCCTGGTAACACCCCCCCCTAAAAAAGAGGTAAAATAGCCAAAAGGGATCGATTGCTCTGTATTCTGAAATAATGCAATGCAAAATATTGGCAGAAAAGCAATATGGGGCTTGGGGGTTTGAAGCACTGTTCATGAGGCAACTATTACTGCTTTCCCCCTCCCTGTATTCCACTAAGAGGGACAGCAAATCAGACATACTAACATCAAAGGATGAAGACAACACTGAAAGAGAGTTAGGAGACCTGGATTTTGGTTCCAATGTCATGGCCTTGGGAAGTCTGGCCTTCCTGGAATCAGTAACAAAAGATGGCAGATTAGATCACCACTAAGATGTCCTCCAACCCTGAAATCCTAAAATTTAGAACATAGAGTTAGGTCTCCTGCCATACCACCCTGAACATGGGCTCTCATCTGATCCCAGAAGCTAAGCAGGGTCCTGTCCATGTTCTTCCTGGTGGAAGAACATGGAAGTGGAAGGTGAATGGTAAATCTAAAAGCAACCTCAGTCTAGCCTGGGTCTTGATCAAAACAAAACTCAGGAAGGAAACTCAGCAAGAATCCACCAAAGTTTCAGCAGAGATGCTGTAAATGCACTCCCCTTCACCCCACATACACTCCTCCCACAAGGACATGGCCTTTGCCTTGTGGACTTCTGTGTGCCTTCTCCAAATTGAGTTTAGCCTTGCAGGTCTACCAGGAGTCCTTTGAAGAGGTTGGCACTGGGCAAGACAGGTGCCCTCACTCTCTCTTCCTTTCCCTCTAAGCCTGCGTGGCATGAGTAGCCAGAAGAGATTCTGAAGAGTTCCAAGAGCTGAGGACATGGGGACCCTGGCTGTGGAAGTGTTGTACTGTGATCACCCAGTCTAACTGAGGTAACCTGGTATGCCCAGTAGTCTGTCTCATCTGCGAGCAGTGAGGCTCTTCCCCTGGCCCCACCTGTCCATCAAGCCCACCCAGAAACCTCAGGCCCTCAGGAGGTTTCTTCTCTCAGCAAGTGACTGAGAGAGACTCTTGTCTGGAAGTGGAGCCAGGGACCTCAAGTGGCAACTAGTGGACTCCGCAGACTCCCAATGGTTGCTAATGCCCTCTTGTGGTCATCTTTGGAAATGGCAAGGAAGAAATTGCCAAAGAGCCAAGGTTGGATTTCTTAGGGATACAAGTAATAACAGTTACCATTACAAAATAATATTGTAACAGTACTTATTGTTATATATTAGTTAACAGTTAATATTTTTGTAGTACTATGGATAGAGCCCAGGGCTCTCTACCACTAAGCTACATCCCCAGCATTATTTGTATTTAGTTAATTCTAACAACAATCTGCAATATCAACAATATTTTTTGTTCTCTCTCTCTGTCCTGGGAATTGAACCCTGGGGGAAGCGGGGGCCGGCTCAGCTGCTCAACCACTGAGCCACATCCCCAGCCCCTCTTTCTTTCTTTCTTTCTTTTAGATAGGGTCTCTCTGAGTTGCTTAGGGTCTCACTAAGTTGCTGAGGCTGATTTTGAACTTGTGATCCTTCTGCCCCACCCTCCCAAATTGCTGAGATTATAGGAGTGCAGTACCCACCTGGTTTATCTCTGTTTTGAGGACAGAAAAGTTAAGCTAATTACCCAGCGGGAGAATTTGAGGCCAGCCTGACCCTGTCTCAAAATAAAAAACAAAAGACCTATGGATGTGGTTCAATCCCAAGTGTGTGTGTGTGTGTGTGTGTGTGTATTTTTATTATTATTATTTTTTTATTTTTTGCTTTTCCTGTTATGCCAAAACTGAGTTCCATATGTCAGGTTGTCAGGTAAAATACAGGACATGAAGTTGAATTATAATTTTACTTTTATTTTTTTTTTTTTTTTTGGTACCAGGGATTGAACTCAGGGCACTGGACCACTGAGCCACATCCCAGCTATTTTGTGTTTTATTTAGAGACAGAGTCTTGCTGAATTGCTTAGGGCATCCATAAATTGCTGAGGCTGGTGATCCTCCTGTCTCAGTCTCCTGAGCTGCTGGGATTACAGGCATGCACCACCATGCCTGGCTTGGATTATAATTATAATTATAATTTCCGGTAAACAATAAATAATTTGTTAACATAAGTATATTATGTGAACTATTTGGGTAATGCTTCTGTGAACGAATTATTCATTGTTTATCTGAAACTCTAATTTACCTGGCTGTCCTGTATTTGCATTTACTTACTCTGACTCCTCTTATTAACAAGGCACGGCGCCACTTTCTATCATTACCTTATTTATCCCTCCCAGGAAGCTGATCTTCAGATGCCTCCCCACTGCCCCCACCAGTGTCTTCTGCTATTCCCATTTAGAGAGCTGAAGTGACTCCCTAAAGTTACAGAATAAAACAAGTGGCGGGATTGGGACTGGAGCCAGGCACCGTGGCACAAGCCTGTAATTCCAGCAGCTCAGGAGCCTGAGTCAGGATGATCTCAAGTTCAAAGCCAGCCTCATCAATTCAGTAGGACCCTTTTTCAAAATTTTAAAAATGGGCTGCGGATGTGACTCAGTGGTTAAGCACCCCTGAGTTCAATCCTCAATACCAAAAGAAAAAAAGAAAAGAAAAGAGAAAGAAAAGAATTGGGACTTAAACCCACATTCTCTAACCCTAAAACTGGTGCATATTTTCCACTTTGTTGTGGCCTCGGGGATTGATCCCAGGGGTATTCTACCACTAAACGACATCCTCCTCATTGTTTTGTTTGTTTGTTCTAATTAGTTACACATGACAGCAGAATGCATTTCAACTCTTTGTATACAATTGAGCACAACTTTTCATTTCTCTGGTTGTACACCCCATCTTTTTTTTTTTTAAGTTGTAGATGGACAGAATACCTTTATTTTATTTATTTTCATGTGGTGCTGAGGACCAAACCCAGGGCCTCACACGTGCCAGGCAGTGCTCTACCACTGAGCCCTTACAGCCGCAGCCTCCCCCTCCGCCCAGCCAATCTTGATTTTTACTTTGAGACACGTCTCACCAAGTTGCCCAGGCTGGCTGGCCTCGAACTTTTGGGATCTCACTGCCTTGGCCTTCTGAGTCACTGGGGTTGTAGAGGTGAGTGACTGTGACTGGCTGTGTTTTCCACTTCAACAGGAGAGAGAAGTGAGGGAGTGCCACCAGGGAAATCTTCCTTCATGGTGTGAAGCACTCTATCAGTGGGGGCCGTCCTGAGCCGGGAGAGTAGCCGGGAGAGTGGCCGGCCGAGTGGAGTACTATGGATAGAGCCCAGGGCTGGGCCCAGCCCCAACTGCTATCTCCAGGAAGCAGGGAAGAGACTGCTCCCAGGCCCAAGGGAGTCAGCTGTGCGGCTGGAGCAACTCCTCAGGGACCCGGAGGCTGGAAAAGACTGTTCACCTGCTGCTCTGCGCACTGACAGCCTGGAGCCCGCTGCCTGCCGGGGTTGCATCATCCGCAGCTCAATAAGGTCAGAAAGCCCGGGCGGCCAGAAGTCAGCAGAAGGAGTCAAAGAAAGTGGGGCCCAGGGAGTCTCCTCCACGGTGCCTTGGGGAGCATGACGTTTCTGTCTCCAGGGAACACCCTTTTCGTTTTTCTCTCCTGACTCTGTACATCTGCTCCCACCCCAGAATACCTGGGCCATTCCTTCACAGACATAAAAACCCCTCCTATCTTCCCACCCAGACCAACTGGCTTTAAAAAGGCAGCAGCGGTCAGGGGAGTTTCCGGGCTGGGACCCCTTCTGGGGTGCAGGCTGGGGTGTCCTGATGGCATGTGCCCCAACAGGTTTTTCTCTATCGACCTTGAAATCAGCCTGGAGCCTGCTGGACCTGCCCCCCCCAGGGAGCTGGAGCCAGAGGCAGAGCCAGGTCAGAAGCTGGACTTGGACTGGGCTTCTGTGGTCCCATCTGGCCCCACAGGGAAAGCCATGCACAAAGCCTCCTGTGTCTTTGGCTGAGCTGTTGAGAGGCTGAGCGGAGTTGCTTGTGTGGGTGAAGGCCCGGTGCCTAGGAGGAGAGATGCTGGGCAGGGAGGTGTTTACAGGGAGATAGGCAGCCAGAGCTGGTCTCCCACGTCTGGGAGGGGCTACAGCCCCAGACAACAGCTGGGCTGGTCTGCAGTAGATGTCATCTGACCGGCTGTTCAGCCTGGGATGCCCACGCCCCCTCTCCTCTACCAGGCTACACAGAAGCTGGGGTGCCCACACAGGCAGAAAGGCCACCAGGCCAGAAGGACACCTAGCACCTTTGGGTAAGTCCTGGACCTGGTCCTTCAGCTGAAGGAGGGGACCTTGTTGACTGCTTGAGGGAGGTAGGAATGTTTTCCTTTCCCAATCTCAGAGTGCCTGCTCCCTAGTCCAGGTACCCATGTCCCCACAAGGACACATACTTCAAATCAAAGTCTGTACCTGGTGACCTAAAGATTCCAGAGTGAGATTCCCAGGGTAAAGGGCAGAAAAGCTGGCAGGCAGCTTTGAAGGTGCTGATGGGGGTGCAATGAGGAAGGAATCCCACCCGTGCACTCAATAGTGCCACCTCACCTCAACTGCCCTCCACTCCCCCAGGAGAATCCAGCCAGACCCTGGGGAAGGGACATGGGCCTCAGAAGGAGGCATTGTCCAGACCAAGGATTAAGGAACCTTGGGTCCAACTCTGGAGTCAAGGGAGGGTCTCATCAGTACTGGTTCCAGCAGTCTCTCTGGTCTTTCTTCCTCAAGGAAGAGGGAAAGGGGAGGAAGGTGGGGGCTTTCCTCCTCCCCCTCCCCCACCACTCCGGTCCAGGCTCACACACCTGCTAAACAGATTAATTTTTTTTTTTCCTGCAGTGAGTGGCCCAGGCTGTAGGTTGAGGGTCATCCAGAGCCCAGGTGGGCCTCAGTTTGCTCCTGTTTCCTTCCCTAGGGCATCCTATCCTGTTGTACCATGTCTGTGAGCAGCAGGGAGATGGGACCTTCTCTGACCCCGGAGATCCTTAGCCACCTGGGCCTTGCCAATAAGGTAGGAGAGGTGTGGGCCACCATGCCTGCCTGGGGATGGTCTTTAATGTATCAACTCAGGGGCTGTGGGAAGATGGGACATAGTGGAGAGTAGGGCCTGTCCTGGGCACTGGGGAGGGGCAGAGGGCAGACAGGGGATTTCCACTCCTAATCACTCCATGCTCTTGCAGACTGCAGCTTGGGGGACCCTGGGCACACTCAGGACCTTCTTGAGCTTCAGTGTGGACAAAGATGTACAGAGGCTACTGAAAGCCATTACAGGCCAAGGTGAGCCCTTTCCCTCTGCACTTGGGGTTCTTTTAGAAGCCGATCTATGGACCAAGAAGGAGCCAGGAAGGAGGAACTAACAAAGTTCAAGAAATGTTTGTGAAATACTTTAATTCCTGTGTGTCAAGTACCATACCCTGGTAGGTGTGTCCTACCCATTCTCACAACACCCTGGGAGGGAAGTCTTATTCTTTCCATTTTACAGATGAGGAACTAAGGTTCAAAGAGGTTAAGAGCCCTGCCCAAGGGCATGTAGCTCTTAACAGTGGAGCTAAGGTTCTAAGCTGAGCTGGCCAATCCCAAAAAGCATTTTTTTTTTTTAAACTACCACATGGGGCCACCTTTGCCTAAATTTGTATCAGGGGCTGGGGATATAGCTCAGTGGGTAGAGTGCTTGCTTCCCATGGATAAGGCCTTGGGTTCAATCCCCAGCATTGTAAAACAACAATGACAAAAAAAAAACACCTAAATTTGTATCAGATTTACATGCTGCTTTGGCATTTTATTTGTATCCGTTTTTTAATTATTTATTTTTTAGTTTTAGGTGGACACAATATCTTTATTTCATTTCTATGTGGTGCTGAGGATCAAACCCAGTGCCTCACGCATGCTGGGCAAGTGCTTTACCACTGAGCCACCACCCCAGCCCCAATTTGTTATCTTTTGAAAAAAAAAATTTTTTTTAAATTTTTAGTTGTAGATGGACACAATATCTTTATTTGATTTTTTTATTTTTATGTGATTGTGGGGATTAAACCCAGTGCCTTACACATGCTAGGTAAGTTCTCTGCTGCAACCTACAACCAGCTACAACCCCAGCCCCTGCATCTTCTTTTGAGATCGAGTGGACATATGGGTGATGCAGCCCTTGCTTCTTCCCTTCCCAGCCTTAGACCTTGTTCTCTCATCTAGAGAGTGTGGGGACCCCAGCCCTGTGAAGGTCCTCATGCCCAGGTGCATGCTTGTGATCCCAAATACCTGGAAGACTTGAGACAGGAAGGTTTCAAGTACGAGGCCAGTCTCCAATTTAGTGAGACTCTGTCTCAAAATAAAAAAATAAAAAGGGCTGGGGATGTAGTTAAGTGGTAGAGTGCCCGGGATTCAATCTCTGGTACAAAAAGTAAATTAATATATTTTTAAAAATAGGGCTGAGGGGCTGGGACTGGGGCTCAGCGGTAGAGTATTCGTGTAGCACGTGCAAGGCCCTGAGTTCGGTCCTCAGCACCACATATAAATAAATAAAATAAAGGTATTGTGTCCAGCTACAACTAAAATAAATAAAAAAAAAGGACTGGGGTTGTGGCTCAAGTGGGAGAGCACTCACCTGGTGTCTGGTATAAATAAAGACCTTGGTGACAGCCTCCCTTTGGTTCAGGTGTGAATCGTGGTGCCATTGTGGACGTGCTAACCAATCGGAGCAGAGAGCAAAGGCAGCTTATTTCTAGAGCCTTCCAGGAGCGTACCCAACAGGTGAGACGGCACTGACTCCCCCGGAACAGTGGCCCCAGGGAGGACCCACACAGCAATGGCAGCCCAGCCTCCTGGCTTCCAGGGGTGGTGCTTCAGGTCTGAGAGGAAAGCCAGCTAAGTCTTCCCAAACCCGCCCACACCTCCGAGGCCTCCCCGACCCCATGTCTCTGCTGTGGGCACCATTTACTGTAGGACCTGCTGAAGTCCTTGCAGGCGGCACTCTCTGGGAACCTGGAGAAGATTGTGGTGGCCCTGCTGCAGCCTGCAGCCCAATTTGATGCCCAGGAACTGAGGACAGCCTTGAAGGTACCGAAAAGGACACTTGTGAAGAATGTCAGGGAATTAAAGACACCACTGAGGGAAGGACAGGGCCATCTGCCTGGCCTTTGTCCACTCCAGAGGGTGGATTTGGAGGCCCCTCTTATGATTCATCATTGACCCTGGGATGGAGAGATGGCCAGCACCTGCCCTCTGCCCCTGTTAGTCTGCCATCCTCATGACATGGCCTAGTCTGAGTGGCCTCCCAATTTCTTGTAGGCCTCAGATTCTGCAGAGGATGTAACCATGGAAATTCTTGCTACCCGAACCCCACCTCGGCTGCAGGAGTGCCTGGCAGCCTACGGGCACCGTAAGAACATGGGAGGGTCCCAAGAACTGGACAGTGACTGCAGGACAATCCACTTCTACCATGAACCATCTGAAAGCCTAACTGTCCGAGTTTTGTTCCCTTAGGCCTCCCCTCCCTCTCACACCCCTACTCTGCTGCCAGTGCCTCAGTCTCCCCAGGAGAAAGAACCAGATGTGACCAGGAAAGACAAGTGATGATTAACCATTTAGTCTGGGGCTCCAGGGCAGATTCCAAAATAATGACAACTTTAGACACTGTAACAATCCCCATGGCACCCCTGTCACCCTCCTAGCCCCTTGCTGTCCCTGCCATAAGACCACCCCTGCTAGCTGAGTGCAGCCTTGGTGTAGCCTGGGGTTAAGATGGGAACTTGCTCTCTAAGTGATAGGTGTCACCTCTCCCAGTCGCTTGCCCCGTTTGGTGTCCCCTGCCTCACCCACTAATTTGTAAAAGCTTTTCCCATCTGCATCTTACCACCACCACCCATTGTTTTGCTGTCCCCAGTTTTCCTTTGATGTCTAGTCTTGTGTTCTTACTGCCTCTTCAGACTCTTGCTCCCTGCCCCGGTGTGTGCTAGGTGAGCACTCTGTCACCACACTTCGTCCCCAGCCCTTGTTGGCCTCATTTCCCTTCCTTCTCCCTTTCCCGCTCTTTCCCTGCTTTGCATCCTGCCTCACACACCATCTTTTCCTCATCTCCAGCTGTCACTAGCCCTCTTGTTTCACAGTAAGGTGTCCTTTTCCCTCTTCCAGGCTGGCCACCACTCATAATGAGTAGATGCCTCCTGCCTGGCAGGTGGTGCTCAGATTGAAGTCAGCGCCCAGCTCACGGCCTAGGGAGACCGTCAGAGTGGTCAACAAGCAGGCATCAAGCTACTATAAGCAGGAGATGGCAGGGCACAGGGGGTCAGCAATTTGACAGGCACTGTGGCTGTCTACACTGGGGAATATCAGCAGGAACCAAGAGCTCCTGTCTCCACCCCAGATTTCCAGGTGGAGGCTGAGGACGACATCAAGTCTAAGACCAGTGGCATCTTGCGGGACCTGCTCCTGGCCCTGGCCAAGGTGAGGAGGAATTACACTCATCAGGTCAGGGACAGGCAAGTGCAGGAAGCACTGTGTCATGTGATGGACAGGAGAGCACCTTAAGGAGGCCAAGGTTTGGCTTCTCAGTCTGAAGATCAAAAGCTGCCTCTCAAGATGGGTGCAGGGGCCCCTGCCTCTAATCCCAGCAACTCAGGAGGCTGAAGCAAGAGGATCCTGAGTTTGCAACCAGCCTCTCTAACTTGGCAAGACTCTCTCTCAAAACAAAAAATAAAAAAGGTTGGGGACATAGCTCAGCGGTAAAGTACCTCTGGGTTTAATCTTCAGGCACAAAGAAAACAAAAACAAACACCTGCCTCTCAAAGAGCCTTCTGAGAACACTTTCTCCTCTAGGGGGGCCGGGAGAGCTACTCTGGAATTATTGACTACAATCTGGCAGAGCAGGATGTCCAGGTGAGCGGGGCCGAGGGGTTTTCAGGGCCATGCCATGAGTCCCTTCACCACTGGGTCTTGGAGCCTGGGACCTGGGACCCACTTGGGGAGGCGCCTGGGACACGGTAGCAAGAGCCTCTTCCCTCGTTTTGACTCTGCCTCCCAGTCCCCTCTCCTGGGCATTTGGGTGAGGGATTATTTAATTCCTTAAAGATCAGGATTTTTCCAACTCAGGGAACAGAGTTGTGAGGGCCCCTCTCTTAGCCCGGTTTCTTTCTTTTTTAAAAACCATATATAGGACAATGAATTTATAGTTTAAAAATCACCTTTTCCATCCTTAATCCCATCTCCTTCGTGGTACATTCTGGGAACATCATGACGGTGGCTCCGCTGACCCCTCCAATGACCTGATGCACTCCTGCTGATCCTTCCCCCTCCCAGGCGCTGCGGCAGGATGAAGGGCGCAGCACCCAGGGGCCATGGGTCCTAATCCTCACCCAGCGCAACCCCAAACACCTCACCCGAGGTAGGCAGGGGCCTTCTCATCCCCGGCTGCCCTGACCGTGGGCTGGGGGTGTTGGGGGTCCCCCCACCAGCCCCTTTCTGACTTCCCACGCACGCCCAGTGTTTGAGCAGTACCAGCGGCGCACGGGGCAGGAGCTGGAGGAGGCCGTGCGCACCCGTTTCCGTGGAGACGCCCGGGCCGCCCTGCTCAGCCTAGGTAGGGAGTGTCCGTGTGTGCCGCGGGGCCTCTGCTGGGCTGGGCTGGGCCCCCCTGAGCTCCTCCGTCCCCCTGTTGGCTTCCAGCCTCGGTGATCAGGAACACGCCGCTGTACTTTGCTGCCAAACTCCACCGAGCCCTCCAGGTGAGAAGTGCGCTCTTTCCTCCCTTTCCACAAAATCTGGGGAGACTCTCCCCGCCAGCTGTTAAGGTGACAGTCTCACATTAACTTTATAACTCTACAGGGGTGTCTTCTCCTGTGTCTACACACTGTCTCATTAAAGGCAGAAGAGAAGGCTGTAGTTAGAACTAAGTTAATTGACCCATAAGAGCACTAAAGCTAAGGTTTTGGCCTCATTAATCACCAGGTGATGGATTTCTTTCATATATATATATAGTTGTAGATGGACACAATTCCTTTATTTTGTTTATTTCTATGTGGAGCCAGGGATCAAACACCAGTGCCTCACGCATGCTTGGCAAGTGTTCTACCCCTGAGCCACAGCCCCACCCCTGATGAATTTACAGACAGTGACTTCCTTGTCCAGTATCCACTGTTGTCAGAGGTGATGAAGATAACACTAGCAAGAATAAGAGCCAGCATTTCATAGGTGCTCATTGGGTGCCAGAGCCTATCCTGAGTATATAACACACATTTCAATGAATCCCCACAACCATACTCCATCCTTATTCTATACGTGAAAAAACAAAAGAGGTTAAGTACCTTGCCTAAAGTCACACAGCTAGTAAATCATACAGTCTCCCTATAAAACACTGAATGATATCAGACATTTACTGTCCTGTGTCAATACTTTGTCAGTGATAAGTGCTCTTAGCATCCAGGACCCCCTTTCTCTACACTGGTCAGATTTTGTTCCATATTATTAATGGTGACGTTGGTTGGAGTAATTCCACAACAAAATCTACTCATTCTGCACAAATTAACTAGTTCTCCTATAAAAACTGTCCCCCAAAACCTGCATATAAAATGTTTGCACTGGGTGCAATGGCTCACGCTTAGCTTATAATTCCAGTAACTCAGGAGGCTGTGGCAGAAGGGTGGCAAGTTTGAGGCCAGTCTGGGCAGCTTGGTACTGTCTCAACATAAAAAATAAAGGGCTGGGGATATAGCTCAGCAGTTGGTAGAGCATCCCTACAAAGTAGGGGTTAACAAAAATCACCAAGTTGGAAAAAATGTGAAATGTGAAAAAGATAAAAGAGTTCTCGTTTTTTTCCGGGCATGGTGGCACACACCTGCAATCCTAGCAGCTCAGGACACTGAGGCAGGAGGATGGCAAGTTCAAAGCCAGCCTCATCAACTTAGCTAGGCCCTAAGCAACTTAGTGAGACCCTGTCTCAAAATAAAACAAAAAGGACTGAGGAGGTGGCTCGATGATTAAACACCACTGGGTTCAATTCCTGTTACCTAATAATAACAATAGTAGTAGTAATAGTAGTAGTAGTAATAGTAATAACTCTCATTTTGGTAGATGAAATAGCTTTCTGTATACTGGTTTAGAAGTTATCATGCCTTGTTGATGACTACTCAAAATATAGTCAAACACTTGCTCTTTTATCGAGAGATTTCCGTCTCGACAGGAAATTATTATACTTGACCAAGAAAGCCTGGATCATTATGAGTCAACAGCAAGATTCATTTGAAGAGCTATGGTTAGCTGTCTAAAATTTTTGTTAAAGCAACAAACTTGTGGGCTGGGGCCATAGCTCTATGACAGAGCACTTGCCAGCATGCACAAGGCAGTGGGTTCAATCCCCACCACCACACCGCCCCCAACAAACAAACAGTAAATTATAGTCCATTTGAATTACAGGACCCACATTTTTTAATGTAAATACAAGATTTATCTCAGGATTCTGAAAAGAGTACATGCCCATTTTTCTGTAAAAATTTTAAAGTATCTTGAAAGTTTTGCTTTTATTTTTGTGGGGTTGGGGATTGAACCCAGGTAGGCAAGCACTGGATCACTGAGCTACATTCCCAGCCCTTCTGTAAAAATTTAAAAGGAAAAAATTCATTCAGAATAACCTTGTACTTTCTTTCCCCCAGTATAGGAGATTGAAACCAAGACCTGTGTTTGCTAGGCAAGTGCTCTACCATTGAGCTACATTCCCAATCCTTTTTTAATTTTTAAAAAGTTGAGACAGGGTCTCACTAAATTGCTGAGGATGAACTAAAACTTGTGATTCTCTGCCTCAACCTCCCCAGGAACTGGGATTATAAGGTATGTGTCACTGCTCCCAGTTCTAGTAATTTTTTTTTTTTAAAAATTAGAGATATGTGGAAACATAGACTGTAAAGAATGTTTATTCAGAAAAATGACCTTCAGCAAAGACTGATTTGAGGCTCATTTGGACCAATCTGAACTTAAAAATTAATATTCACAATGACAGTCCTGGGGGATTATGGAATGCCAAGTCTACTCTCAAGTATCAAGTGTAAAGAACACTTGTACACCAAAGAAAATATTTAGTTATATTTAGTTAAGGAGTGTTTCTTGGTCCAGTTCAACAATTTTGGAGGGACAAAAATTGGAAGAAGGGAAAAATGGATAGTAGAGAGCAACTGACAATCTTTAAGACAATATAAAATAAAGTTAAAATGAAGTAGCCATCAGGTCCACTGATAATTTAAAAATGAGTCCAAATGAAATACAGCATCATGTTTTCTTTTTCTTTTTCTGGTGCCTGGTATTGAACCCGGGTGCACTGAACCACTGAGCCACTTCCCCAGCCCTTTTATAAACAAACAAACAAATTATATATATATATGTATATACACACACACACACACACACACACACACACGTGGGTACACCATTTGTATGGGTACACCATAACCACACAGAACGTGGGGTTCATTTTGCCATTTTTGTACATGTGCATAGCCTAATTTGATCAATCTCATTTTTCATTACCTTTCCTTTCCCTCCCCTCGCCCCAGGGAGCCTTTTCTAGCCTCCCTGATGGACCCTTTGGAGCCGCTCACCACCCAGCTGTGGGGGAGTGGGGCTGTAAACTAGTGGCAGGGCCAGGAAAGACATAGGGGAGGAAGGAGAGAAGTATTCATGCTGCCCACTCAGGGGCTGAATGAGGATGAACAAAGATGACTTCTGCCCCTGCAATAATGTCTACCTCTCTTTTTCCAGGATTCTACCTTACCTCTACTTCCTAAAATAACACTTCCTGCAGTTCAACCCTCTTTTTCCTTTCTTTTCTTTTCTTTTTTTTTTTTTTTTGGGGGGGGGATACTGGGGATTAAACCCAGGGGTGCTTTTACCACTGAGCTACATCCCCAGTCCTTTTTAGTTTTTGAGACAGAGTCTCACTAAGTTGCTAAGGGCCTCACTAAGTTGCTGAGGCTGGCCTCAGACTTGTGTTCCTCCTATCTCAGACTCCTGAGTTGCTGGGAGACAAAAGGTGTGCACCACTTCTTGCTCAATCCCTTCTCTTGTGTGTATCTTACAGACTACTCCTTCCCCATCTGTTTCTTCTTTCACCAGGAGTCTGAGCCCAATTACCAAGTCCTGATGCGCATCCTTATCTCTCGAAGTGAGACTGACCTTCTAAGCATCCGAGCTGAGTTCAAGAAGAAATTTGGAAAGTCCCTCTATTCTTCTCTCCAGGTGAAATTTGGCTAGTTCTTAACCTGGAGCCTTGGAGTTTCATTCCTCACTGATACCCATCTTTCCTGCTCACAGCAGAGCATATTCTTCCCTTATAGATCTCATGAGCAATTAGTTCATTGAGTGCAAGACTCCAAGCATCAGGGAGGATCTTTCCCTCCTGGATGAGCTATGGACCAGCAGGAGGGAGGGATCAGAATGCTTGGTCCATGGAATGGTGGTGAGTCTTTCTAACATTTGACTTCCTTGTCTGCAGGATGCTGTCACAGGGGATTGCCGGTCAGCCCTTCTGGCCCTGTGCAGAGCTGAAGACATTTGAGGCCTCCCTTCCCCCGACCTCCATGTGACCTTCAAGGATCTGAGATGCCCATGTTTGGCTAAGCCTGCAGGATACCAGCTGGGCCTCTAAATAGGATGACCCTTCATGGTGCCCCGCATACCAAGCTTCTTGTTAAGGCTGAACTGTATCTTTTAAATCCCTAATTTCTTTCATTTCAAAATGGTTTCTTTACCTGGGTCCTCTAGCTCTGTCCTGGAAGAAGGGTAATGGGATTTCTTTGATAGTTTCTATCCCACTCATCTTTCTCATACCCTGGCCAGAACATCTCTCTGGTACTCCAATTCTTTTTGGCAAACTTTACTGTTGTTTGTGTTCTCTGACTGAACTTTGGGTGGAGCAGGACACAGACCAGGAAGACGCCTTGGAGCTGAAGCACCTTTGAAGTGCACTTGGCTATTCAATGGGAATCCTGTTTTTGCCCCCGTGTTGCAGTTATTAACATGTTCCACCCACCATGTCTACTCTCACATTCATTATTCTCCCTATCCCAGGAAATTCAGGCAAATTAATTGAGGAACAAGCACAAGAATGAGGTCAGAAATGGTTGGAGGTAGCAAAGGACCATTTGTGAGAAGTGGGAAGAAAGCAAAGGGTTAAACTGCCCTCCCAACCCTGGGAAGTCTTGGTAACTTCTCAAATTCCCAGCTCCAGTTCATCTGTCCAAGCAGGGATCTTGAAAACCAGGCCTTTCTCTTGGGACACCTATGACGGCATCAACAGGAGGAGGAAAAAGGCAGGCTTGGGTTCCCCCTGCTGGCTCTGTTAGAAACCACAGGCAGCCTCCTTCTCCCTCTCCCCGCTGGCTTTGCATTCCTCAATTGGGTCAAATACTTAACCCCATGGCTGCAGGGGAAGCCAAACAACATCTCAGGAAAGAATTTTATTTCCAAACCTCTAGGAAGGCATTACAAATAACAGACATAGAAACCCAAATCAAACCCTGAAGCAAAAGGAGACAGGCCTGCAGGGTAGGGAGGAGGGAGAGAGGTGCAGCCCAGATAGGCCCTCACCCTGTAGCCTGAGTCTGTGTGTTCATGAAAGGGAGTTAGGAATCAGACATCTTCACCCTGCCCATCCCAGTGTTGCCCTGGGAGGAAGAGAGGCAGCAGCACATGAGGCAGGGACATTACCGAGTTTGACCTTGGTATTTACTACTGCCTGCTCTGACCCCCAACAGTCCATAAATAAGCTACCCCATGTATCTCAGGGGTTGAGATGGGGGAGCAGCGGGCAGAGCTATAGCAGAGTGCAGTCCGACTCCTGCTTCGGCCTCTGTCGGCGCTCCCCGGCTGGGCGTCCTGACGTGGCTCCTCTCCCCTGTGCGGGATTTAACATTGGGTCATCCAACAACTTTGGAGGAGTAGAGGACTGAGATTCAAGGGGTTAGGGGGTCGGGATCAGGAGGGACTACAGGGAGAGAAAAACAGGAAGGGGTTCCAGGAAGAGGGTCCAGCAGGAGAAGGGTCCCAAGGGACACCTAGAAGAGACCAGTGCAGAAACAACAAGTGAACTGGACAAGGCACAGCGGGTGGTCTGGCCCCACTAAGGAAAGGTGACAGGGGCTTACCTGGGGTGACAGGGCCCGCATCTGCGCAGGCTGGACTGGTTGCTGCTGTTGATACTCCTCTTGCTGAAGTTGCTGGGCCAGCTCCAGGTCACTAAGGCCCAGCATTCCTTGTGGCTGCTGCTGCTGTTGCAAGGACAAGGCCATCAGGTAATCCTAGAAAGAACAAGAGTTCCCAGGTGGGCGAAGGCTGGCAGGGAAGGAGACTCAGGCAAGGTTTCCAAACTAGGCTTTCCTTCAAATTCTCCAACTTCTCTCCCTCCAGGGGAAAACACAGCCAGTTGTACCCCTGGTGCCAGAAAATGCACAGCAAACAAGGAGATGATCTGAAGGTAGCAGAGTGGAGGGGCATGGGTGTTAGGGATGTGGCCTTGACACAATAAATCACACGTGGCTCTTACAGCAAAAAACTCTGTGAGGCAGAGGACCTCTGGGCACCTTCCCCAAAGGCCCACACACCTGGTCTACCTGCAGCTGCTTCTCTGGGGAGCTACCCCCACCTTGTGCTTCAGGGCCCTTGCCGAGGGAATGACTTAGGTGGAAGTCAGAGTCACAGAAGCAGCTGTCTCCGTCCACGTTGTGCAGGCTCTCCCATACCACTTGCTCCTCCTGTAGAAAACCCTGGTCAGTGACCAGTAGGTACAAATGACTCTGCAAAGAAAAGGACAGCCAACTGGTGGGATAAGTGACACAGCGGCAATTTACTTCTCAACATTACCTGAGATGCACAGACCACTTGAATTAACTGATGTGCTGGCTGGAACTGCACAGTGTTAGCCTACGGAATACACACACAGTATGGAGAGGGAAGGGATGTCTGAGTGTATGTCCAGGTGAAGTTGGGTATAAGTATAGTGGTGATTTTGGTCAAGTGTAGAATCCTTACGGTTGGGATAAAACCCAAGACCATGCTTTTCACCCTATTTCTTATGGTCCTCTGGTCTCTTTTGATGGCGGTGGGAATAAATTCTTTGGGAACCAGAGACCCCTCTTCTACTGAACTCTTAGAGAGCTTCGGCAATTTTTAACTCAAAGACTGTGGTGGTGTTAAAAATTTCCACTGCCCCTTTCTGGGAGAGGATTATAGCTTCCTGTTCCACTGATGGTGGACTTATCCTTTATGGCTTTGTCTGGCCTCTGAGATATGAGCAGAAATGACCATTTCTGGGCAGAAGCACTAACAGTGAGTGTACAACAATGTTCCTCTCTCTTTCCCTGCATATATTTCAGATTAAGGCTCTTTGGTCAGCCTGGTCCTAGAGTGAAGATGGAATGGGTCAGAATGTAGCCAATCTTCATTAGGCATACACACAGTATGAGTGAGAAAAAAACATTTGTTGTGGTAAACCACAAGGATTTCAGTGATATTTGTTACTGCAGCTTAACTCACCTTATCCTGACTGACCCAGAAGAAACAGACCCAGAAGAAAAAGGCATGGGGAAACCACAGCACCCCAACCCCCCAACACCTCCAAACCCTTATCACCTTGTGCTTAGTCATAGTGCTAAAGTGGTTGTTGCGGAAAAAGACACTAAGTTCACCCTCCTTGGCAGCCGCTGTAAGCTCACACAGGCCATGGTAGGTCAGCTGTGCTGCAGTGGTCTCCAGGAACTGCTCTGCGATCAAGCCTACCAGAAGGCATAAGATGGGAGAAATTTGGCTTACATCCAAAGTCCATGATTAAAAGGAAAAAAAAAGACCAGGCATATAGCTCAGCTCTGTGGTAAAGCACTTGCCTAGTGTGTAGGAGGCTGTGGGTTCAACCCCCTGCACCATCAAAAAATAAATGAAACAAAATGAAGTCCAAGATAGGAAGGATCATCCAAAGAGTACCTGTCAAAAGTCCTTCTGAATCTGACTTTCTAAAATCCCTTGTCAGGGGTGGTGGTACATGCCTATAATCCCAGCTACTCAGGAGGCTAAAGCAGGAGGATCACAAGTTTGAGGATAGCCTCAGCAATTCAGCGAGACCCTGTCTCAAAGTAAAATATAAAAAAGGCTGAAGATGTGGCTAGTGGTTAAGCAACCCTGGGTTCAATCCCTGATGTAAAACAAAAACAAAAACAAAAAAACCCTAAGGTGTGTTGACTCAAATATTTATAGGGACTAGGCAGAAAAGAAGCAAAACTACTAAATGTCAAGCCAGGGAGAACTTGGTTCATCTTATCCAAAGAGGCAGCCACAATTCATCACCCACTGATTGTGGCTATGACAACAAGTAGGTACCACCATTGTCAGATGTGATATCTACACAGAAGCTACAAATCCAGATTACAAAAAAAAAAAAAAAAAAAGAAAAAAGAAAGAAAATCAGCTGATTAAAAACAACAACAAAACAAAGGGCTAGGTGTAGTGGCACACACCTGTAGAATCCCAGTGACTCAGGAGGTGGAGGCAAGAGTATTCTAAGTTTGAAGCCAGCCTCAGCAGCTTGATAAGGCCCTCAGCAATTTATTGTTGAGACCCTCAAAATAAAAAATAAAAAGGGCTCAAGATATAGCCCAGTAGTACCAGTAGTAGAGCACTCCTGGGTTCAATCCTCAGTGGTACAAATAAATAAATAAATAAGGCTGGGGGTGAACCTCAGTGGTAGAGTGCCCTGGGTTCAGTCCCCACTGCCTTAAAAAAAAAAAAAGAAAGAAAGGAAAATGATATTGAGCAGCTACCTCATGTGAGGCACTACACTAAGCCCAGGAGGCCGCGGAGAGGGAAGATGTATCCCTGCATGAAACAGACAAATTTTCCAAACTTTCTCTTAGGGAGCTTACACTCTAGTGGGAGAATGGCAGGAGACAATAAACAGTGAACCTAAGCAGCTATTCTACCCTTCGCATAAGATCCATGAGGGAGGAGGGATGTCACCTTCTGTCACGAGGTTGGGGTCACTGGAGTGTTTGCAGGTGATGATCTTCTCTACTAGCTGGTTGTAACTCAGTTTCCCAACTGCGCTCACAGCCTCGGGACTCTGCACATGTGGGGAGTAGGGTGGGGAGTGAGAAAGAATGTTGAATTTATTTAAGGAAGGAAAGGAAGCCCACAAGGACTACGACCTTATGATCAAGGTGTTCTGTTTGGGGACCAGGATTGAACCCAGGATCTTTTAACAACTGAGTCATTTTTTTAAAATGTTTTTTTAGTTGTAGGTGGACACAATACCTTTATTTTTATTTATTTATTTTTATGTGGTGCTGAGGATTGAACCCAGTGCCCCACACATGCTAGGCAAGTGCTCTACCACTGAGCTACAACCCCAGCCCACCACTGAGCCATTTCCTAAAAAAAATTTCTTTCAAAAGTTTTTATTTGTTATTTTTAGTTATACATGATGGTAGAATGTATTTTGACATATTATACATACATGGAGTATAACTTCCTATTCTTGTGGTCTTACATGATGTGGAGGTACACTGGTCGTTTATTCACATATGAACATAGGAAAGTAATGTCTGATTCATTCTACTGTCTTTCCTATTCCCATCCCCTCTCCCTTCCCTTCATTCCCCTTTGTCTAATCCAAAGTACTTCTATTATTCTCTCCCCTCCCCCTTATTGCACGTCAGAGAGAACGAACATTAGGCCTTTGTTTTTTGGGACTGGCTTCTTTTACTTAGCATGATAGTCTAGTTCCATCCATTTATGAAATGCCATAATTTCATTTTTCTTTATGGCTGAGTAATACTCCATTGTGTATATATACCACATTTTCTTTATCCATTCATCTGTTGAAAGGCACATAGTTTGGTTTCATAGCTTAGCTATCATGAATTGAGCTGCTATAAACATTGATGTGGCCATGTTACAACAGTATGCTGATTTTAAGTCCTTTGGATATATTCTAAGGAGTGGGATAACTTAGGCAAATGGTGATTCCATTCCAAGTTTTCTGAGGAATCTCCATACTGCCTTCCACAGTGGTTGCACCAATTTGCAGTCCCACCAGCAATGAATGAATGTACCTTTCCTACCACATCCTCCTAACATTGTTTTCTTTTGAAACAGGGTCTCACTCAATCCTTAGGGCCTGGCTAAGTTGCTGAGGCTGGCTCTGAACTTGAGATCCTCCTGCCTCAGGCTCCCAAGTCACTGGGATTACAGGTGTGTGCTACTGCACTTAGAGCATCAGTTCCTGAACATTTTTTTCTTTTTAATATATACATATATTTTTAGTAGTCAATGGACCTTTATTTTATTTATTTATATGTGGTGCTGAGAATCAAACCCAGTGCCTCACACATGGTAGGCAAGTGCTCGACCCCTGAGCCACAACCGCAGCCCAGTTCCTCAATTTTTGATGTCTAAAGAACTGATTCTAGGGCTGGGGATGTGGCTCAAGAGGTAGCGCGCTCGCCTGGTATGTGTGTGGCCCGGGTTCGATCCTCAGCACCACATACAAACAAAGATGTTGTGTCCGCCAAAAACTAAAAAATAAATAATAAAAAAATTCTCTCTCTCTCTCTCCCTCTCTCTCTCTCATTCTCTCTTTAAAAAAAAAAAGAAAGAACTGATTCTATGGGGCTGGGGATGTGGCTCAGCGGTAGAGCACTCGCCTTCATGTGTGCGGCCCTGGGTTCGATCCTCAGCACCACATATAAATAAATAAATACATAAATAAAGGTATTGTGTCTAAATACAACATATATATATATATATATATATATATATATTTAAAAAAACCTGTTTCTGGGCTGGGTTTGTGCTCAGGGGTAGAGCACTTGCCTGGTGTTTGTGATACACTGGGTTTGATTCTTAGTACCACATATAAATAAATAAATAGATAGATAAATAAATAAATAAATAAAATAAAGGTCCACTGACAACTTAAAAAAAAAATACATATAGGGGCTGGGGATATGGCTCAAGTAGTAGCGCGCTTGCCTGGCATGCGTGAGGCACTGGGTTCAATCCTCAGCACCACATAAAAATAAAATAAAGATATTGTGTCCACCTAAAGCTAAAAAATAAATAAATTAAAAAAAATACATACATGTTAAAAAAAGAATGATCCTATTTGCATATTTGCATATGGTTTGCTTGTACTAGAATGCTACCCCTACCAGAAAAAAAAAAAAGGCTAAAATTCAAGAAATTCAGTCTCCAAATTCTACTCCCCTCCCAAGCCAATCTAACTCCTTCCCCGGGCACCCAACCCACAACATTTTGCCTCACTCAGGTCAGCTCCAGCGAGGTAAAGGACTCAGGGGGGCTTCCACCATCACCTGTGGATCAACAAGCCAGCCATGGTACAGAGGTATGCCTAGTAGGTCAAAGACACTGCATTCGGGTGTATACTCAAAGTCAGAGACTCCTGTGAATCGCACATTGACATCAAGACCGGTGGCCAGCTTTGGCAGCACTGTCATTGCATCGTCCACATTCTGGGGATTGAAAAAAAAAATGATGAACAGCCTAGCCTCCTTTCCCACTCCCACGTCCAGAAAAAAAAAAACAAAAACAAAACAAAAAAAAAACTTGTTGCTTTTCTTCCCTAACATTCTTACAAGCCATTCTATTCCTCCCCTGATTCAATCCTTCTTTATCTTATATAAACGAAATCTTTTCCAGGATAGAGATATAACATCCTCTCTCATACCTGCAGAAGGAAGCACAGTTCAAAGAGCCCTCTTAAGATGCAGCAAACAGCTTCTCTCGATAGTTGCAGTCAGTGTCCCCTTCCAAACCACGAAACCCCTAAGTCTCCGGACTTCTTGCCTTACCTGCTGAAAATTAAGCTGAAGTCCCTCTGATTTTCCTTGAGGTTGGATGGACAAGAGGCAGTTTCCTATAAGACAGGATACTCTATCAACCTACCCCACCACTTGTCCTAAAGGCTCAGCTTCCTCTTTTCCTGGAGAATGTGGATAATGTCACAGAACCACAAATTTTTAGAACTGGAAAGGTCCTTAGAGTCTAATTCAGACCTTTCATTTCTCAGAGGAAGAAACAGGCTTGTAAATGGGAAGGACCTACTCAAGTTCACATTCAAAACCTAAGGGCAGAAACGGGGGGAATAGCTCACGGGTAGAGCACTTGCCTAGCATGCTCAAGCCCTGGGTTTGATCCCCAGAACTGTAAAAAAGAAAAAAAGAAAAGAAAAAGGCTAAGAGCAGAATTGGTATTATAACTCAAGATTCCTGACTTTTTTTTTTTTTTAAATACGGGGATTGAACCCAAGGGAGCTTAACCATGGAACTACCTCCCCAGAAGTTTTTATTTTTATTTTTTATTTTGAATCAGGATCTCATTAAGTTGCTGAGGCTTGCCTCACACATCCTCCTGCCTCAGCTCCCACCCTCAGCCTGGGATCACAGGAATGTACCATTACACTTGGCTCAGGATTCCTGACATCTTGACCTTGGCTTTATCCTCCAGCCTTGCAGAGAAGCCCAATGACCCTTAGCTTCCCTGCTGCGTTAGAACCCAGAATGGGGATCCCTTGGTAGTCTGAATTTCTGGCTGAGGGGATAGCTCTGGAACCCCTTAGGAAATTCCTCATTAAGGCCCAATTACTCACCAAGGTGGGTCAAGAGCTCATCTGATGTGATCACTTCCTTCTGGGGAGACAGCTTCACCTAGGGTAGAAGGAATGATTCTGTATGTGTCTCCCTTTCAGAGCACAAAGGAAGAAACTACAACAGTGGAGAGAGTGCCCTGTGGTATTTAGGGTTGGGAGGAAAAGGTTTGAAACTGGAGCAACAGAATAAATGTGAAATACTACAAGGTCTTCCTATTTGCTAGAGAACAGGAGAGACAGGAGTAGTATAGAGAATAATCTGAAAAGTTCAGATTGCTTTGAGAAAATCCGGATGAAAGGGAGGTGGGTCAGGGAAGAGTGTTCCCCATAATTTCTGAGTTCATGTCAGATTTTCTCTTACCTTCCACTGAAGGAAGAGGATATTCATGATGGCAAGGAGAGGGCAAGGACCATTAGTGCTCTGGGTGATGATGGGTGTCCGTTCTCCCTTCCAGGGGATCCATTTTACACAGTAGAAATCTGGCTCAGTCTGTTGGGTCCTCGGGGACTGGGGAAGCTCCTGGGGCCTGGAGCATGCTCCTAGTGTCTCTGCCTCAGGTGACATGCTACAGGATGGCCCAGGTTGACTTGAGTCAGTTTCAGGAGGAGGGGACTCAAGGTTCTCCCCACTCTGGGTTGGTAACAAAGCTTGGTCTCCTGGCTCTTGTTTTGCAGCTTCCTCATCAGCATCTCTGGTGTCTTGGTCCTGAGGGTACTCATCTGGTCCTGATAGGACCTCCTGGTTTTCAGAGGTGTCTGTTTCTGCATTCCTGGCCTTACCCGAGGACGGATGTTCAGGCTGAGGGTGCTCCATGATGGGAAGGGAGTCAACTGAGGGAAGCTGGGGATGTTTCCTAACCTCAAGGGCTTGCCTATGTCAGTCTTGGTATGCAAAACATAGACCTGTCCAGTAAGAAGAAGATCGTTGAGCCAGAAAGCAAAGCCACCCAGAGAAGTCTTAGAAAATGAATGCTGTATGGAAGGCTGGCTGTGTATCTGCACAGGCACTCCTGGCTACAAGTAGTACATGCCTTTCTCAGCTTGCATAAACAGGACTCAGACTGAGATCTTTCCACTTTTAACTTGTGACCAGATGGAACCAACGGTGGCTTGGGCTTCTAGGCTTGAGAATGATAGTTCTGGAGGGACTGAACACATTAAGTGGAGCCAGCTTCCCTGAAACAGATAATGATAAAGAAAATGGGAGATGTAGCAGAGAAGGAGGAAAATAGATGGAGAAAGAAATGTTAAACTATCCTAATACAGAGGTGTCGTTTCTGTAGGCTAGGGGTGCAGCTCATTGCCTAGCAAGTGTGAAGCCTTGGTTCAGTACCCAGGACTGGAAAAAAAAGGAAAACCAAAACTATCCTAAACAAACCCAATGATCCTAATGGTTATAATATGATAACATTCAGCTAACCTTGTAAAAGGCATCATATCAGTAGCCTGCACAACAGCCAGGACATGGGCAATTCTTCCCTTACACCAAATCCCATCCCTCCATGAAACAACCTGAGCACACACAGACTGCTTGGATTCTCATGGATACTGTCTCCCTGTGTCACCCCAAAGGTGAAAAGTGACAGGGGTGGAGTGGAGATGCAGTGTCATGCTCCTAAGTGATGTGCTGGTGAGGAAGGGAAGTCTTTCTCCTCAAAGGAGTCTACCAGACCTTACACAAGCACAAACCACAGCAAAAATGTCTTGGGAGGAGCTTCCTGTAGGCTGCAGAGGGGAAATGTAGGTTATAGGGACTTGAATTAGAGAGTGCCTTAGATAAGTAACTTCAAATTGGGGGCAGAAAAAGGACTGCCCCTCACTGCAAATTCTTCCAGTAGCTTCTCTGGACAGTTGGAGTTAACAACTTCCCAGTAGTTCTTTTTTCTCCCAATCTACCTAACCCCAGAGATACTCTCTTGCCCACTATTTATATGGAAAAGAGAAATGCTGATTATTGATTGACTTAAAAAAATACTCCCTACACTGTTACCTACTGGTGTATGTTCTTTATGTCTGTTTCCATCTCTGTGCTTTTTGATGTGAAGATTAGGCCTGTTTAACTTGTTCTCTATCAGCACTAAGCATCAAGTCAGGCATAGATAGACATTTAATCAACACTGGGTAACAAAGGGTAAAAAGCCACAAACCCTGGCTTCTAGAAACCATCCCTCTTCAATCTCCTTACTCCCCTCCCTACTCTTTAGTCAGGGGAAAAAAAAAAAAAGTAGAAATTAAACAGGTTAAAGATCTTGTCTTTGCCTTTTCTCCAGTTCCCTCCTCTCCTGGGGTTATACTTTTTTTCTTGTAAAGGTGCAGGAATTTGGGGCTAGGAGGAAGGCCTGGCCAATGAGGATGAGGAACGTTAAATTAACTGAAATAAAAATAGGCCTAGTATGAAGATGTGAATTTGGTGTCAACATACCTTATATATAATCAGAGATATGATAAATTATGGTATAATGATGTATTAAGAATTGTAATGCAAAAATAAATAAATAAATAAAATTTTAAAAAAATAAAATAAAAATAAGCCTAGTCATTCAATCATCCTCCTGATTCAAATATAATTCATGTCAGTTGCAATTCATTTACATGTTGTTAATTTACAATCAGAATAGCAAATATTGCCTGTAAAGGCTTTACACATTTTTTTCCCTCTCTCCTTTATTCCTCCCCTCCCACATGGCATTTAAGGTGAGTTTTGAAGTAGATGTCAGACTCAGGGAAAGTTAAAAAAGCTTGAAGAAAACAGGACTCATTTTCTGCCCAGTGCTAGAAATAATCAATAATTACGTGGGGGCTGGGAAGCTGGCTGGCCAGAGGAATGAACCAGGGGAAACCAGGAGCTCAACACCACAGGGAATGGGGACTCTAGGGAAATTGGGCAGAGTTAAGTGGGCTAAGTCCTAAGAGGCAGGGCAGGAAATGTAATGCAGGGTTTCCACCCTCTCAAGGTACACTCCTGGTAGTGAGAGCTTGGAGTATTTCTGAGTAGGAAAGGATGAGGGGAAGGAACCCAAGCAAATCAGGATTTCACCCGTTTTTGTTTGTTCTCTTTTCAGCCCTACACTTTTCCTGCAGCTGAATTAACCTATGGTGGTGGGTGGGGGAGTTAAACAACTCTGGCCCCTCCCTAGTCAGTGTCAGAGTGCAAGAAACAAAATAGGTAGGTAGCTTCAAGAAGACACCCCAGAAACACACACCACAGGATCTTTCCTCTCCCCTCAAGTACCTTATTGTCCCACACCAATCTCCTCCTGACCCAAATCCTCATGCAATCAATGGTTTCTATTTTCCCTTCATCATCAAACCTTGCCACAGTGTGCTGTCTACTTGCTTCCAAGGAATGGGGAGGGTTTGGCTAGAAGCAGGAGATAAAAGGACCGAGGAGCGCTATTACATGTTCCTCCTGCCTTAGCTCCTGGAGACCACAGATGGGAGGACAGACAGGTGTCAAGTCCCCCAGCTGAAGAGGGAAAGGAGAGCTGCGGGCTGGAGAGGAGGTGGAGAAGATGGTTAAGACAAAGTTTTACCTTAAAGAAGTGGGTGCAGTTCCAGGACGGAGCAGGAGGGTTCAGCTCTGGCAGTCTGATGGGGGAGGTGGGATCAGCGAGGGGCACCACCAGGCCGGCTGTCCAGAGCTTATACAGGTTGACACAGCTTTACGAGCGTGGCTGGCCGTCCTGGCTGGGTTGTGGCTACTTCCGGACTCACGCCCAGGACTGGGGCACCGCAGTGGGGTGAGGGCAAGCAGGGGCGCAGCCCAGGTGCTCCCGGTGGTGGCTCTGAGTGGCTTCAGGATTCTTGAGAGGCTGAGTCTCGGCGTGCGCACTCCAGGCCCTAACTACAAACTGGTTTTTAAAGGAAGTTTGTGGGTTTTCTTTTTTCCTCTTTCTCTCTCTCTCTCTTTTTCCCTCTTTCTCTCTCTCTCTCTTTTTCCCACTGGGAGAAAGAAAAATTAGTCAAAGACAAGCTCTCTGGAGGAGGAGGGGTTTGCCCAGCACTGGAGGATTTCCATCAGAGCTTTCTGATCCGGTCAGCAGCTTGGTAATCAGCAGAGAGGGAGAGAGAAACAAGGAGAGAAAAACAACAGACCCTTTCTCTTCCCTTCGCCTGCCGCTGGAAGGGAGGGAGCGCTTGTGCCTCTCTGGTGAGAATAGGGAAGAGCAAGTGCCCTAGCTGAGCAGGGAGGAGCAGAGCTGGACCCAGCAGCTTGTTGGATCTGGGCTTTCTCCCTGCGTGAGATAGTCCTTTGCTCTGGATCCACAGAAGCAGAGCCAAAGAGCATGATATTTGCATGTTAACTCATTTAATGTAAAAAAGGAGAAAAAAAAAATCTGCTCCTGTCTCTCTGGGAGCCTTTAGAGGGCTCCTTTCTAGGTCTTCCCTGTATCTTTTTTTTTAACTTCTTTCTTTTTTTTTTCTTCCTCCTTCCTCCCTTCCTTTCTTAGTTTAGAAATGACACTGGTTGGGCTGTGCACCTAGTAGTGCACAGAGGCAGCAGGTCCTGGGTGGAGAGGACAGCAGGAGACCCAGTGGAATAAGAGGAGACACAAGGGCCTGTGCGCTGGTTCTTGTTTCCTACAGGCCTCAGCTTCTTAGATGTCACCTCCTCTCATCTTCCAGCTCAGGGAAGAGGAAAAGCTGGGTGAGGCTGGAGGTAGGAAATGATTAATAAATGAGGGAACAGAGTCAAGTGTGGTGGATCGCGCTATAATCCCAGAAAAACGGCGAGTTTGAGGCCAGCCTGGCCAACATAGGCCCTAACCAATAGAGTGAGACCCTGTCTCAAGTCTCAAGATTGAAAACATTTTAAAAGGGCTGGAGATGTGGATTAGTGATAAAGCACCCCTGGGTTCAGTACTTGTTTTTTTTTTTAAAGGAACATTTGATCATGAGGGGAACCTTTTCTTGGCAGTACTCTGCAATACCCTGGGTCTGGAAAGTGGCAGTTATTAAGGGAAGTTGGAACCTCGCTGTAGCTGTACATTCAGAAGGGCCCTCGGAACACAGCCGCCACAGGCTGAGACTCCAGGCAAGTCTGAAAGCCTGAAACAGCAATTGGAACAAGGAGGGAGGCTAGGAGCAGAGAGCCAAGGTTACAACAGTCCACGAAAGGAATGAAATTCTTGTGAAACTGTAGAGTTGTGTTTTTTTTTTTTTTTTGGCGGGGGCGGGTTTCGGGGATTAAACTCAGGGACACTAGACCACTGAGCCACATCCCCAGCCCTATTTTATATTTTATTTAGAGACAGGGTCTCACTGAGTTGCTTAGCGCCTGGGCTTTGCTGAGGCTGGCTTTGAACTCCTGATCCTCCTGCCTCAGCCTCCTGAACCGCTGGGATTACAGGCGCGCGCCACCGCGTGGGGTGAGGCTGTAGAGTTTTAAAGGAAGCAGGAGTTGGCAAGACTGTAGGTATTAAGTAAAGAAGAGGTGTCAAAGATTATCCTAGTACTTTTCTAGCATGGACAACCACAAAATCGGCGGCAACGGGTCAATTTGGTGAAAGGGAAAATTTGAGAAAGGAAGATGGAGAGCCGTTCGCCATGTTATAATTTAAAACGTCAGCCAGATGCTTGGTGCGATATATGGAAAGATGCTATACTTAGCCATCTCTGGAAGAGTGAGTTCAGATGCCAAAAGATGAGTGACTATGACGCATACACATTTGTGTATCAAATCACTTGAGAAAATTCTCCTTCCCTCAATGGTTGGGGGTCATCTCGGAGTTTCTGGACTACGTTTCCCAGGACGCCTTGCGCCACGCCCCTCCCCTTCCGGAGGGACGTCCCTTGAGTCTCTGGGCGCTGGTGTGGGGGGGGAGGGAGGCGGGGCGGTGTCGGCCTCCGGGATCGCCGGGTTACGCACTTCCTCTCGGGGTCGGAGGCCCAGTCTCTGTTTGGCGGGTTCGAGTCCCGCCTACTGACTCTGGCCTCTGGCCTTTGAGTCCTGGGTGGGGTACACACGCTGGGTAACCGCTCCTCCGCGAGGGGCGGTGGCGCACCTTGGACTTCACCATGGAGGACTACCTGCAGGGTTGTCGAGCTGCTCTGCAGGTAACGGATCCCTGTCTGGCTGAGGAACGAGGATGGGGTCCGGGAAGCGTGGACGTGTAGGGTGTGGAGAGCGCAGACGGGCCGTGTGCGGGGGTCTCCGAGTGGCGAGAGACACCGGGGTCTGGCTGGGCTTGGAGCGTGGGGAGCAAACACCAGCTCATGCAGGAGGCCGCTCCCGGGCCCCGATTCGGGGTCCCTGTCCTTCGCGGCCCGCCGGGAGCGCGGAGCCGAGTCCTGGTCCGGCTCTGGTCGGACTCCCCGGCCTGCTGCCGCCGGGCCGTGCGCCGTCCGCCCGCCCGCCCGAGACGAGTGCCAGGGCCTCCCGCCGCTCCGCCTCGCGGGCTGCGGACGCCCGTGCCGGCGGCGTCGGGTGTTGGCTTCCCCCTGTGTAAGCCCGACGTGGGACCCGGCGCGTCGGCTCGGCCGCCCTCTGCCGCGGCGTCTGGCTTAACGTGCGCGAGTCTCGGGAAGCTTGAAGGCGGGGGCCCCAGCACGACTGTGGGACTCCCGGTGGGTGCCTCCGGCCGGTGGGCCCTCCCAGCCCTGTTGACTGCCCCAGCAGCAGCAAAAAGCTAGCCAGACAGAAACGACCGGCGGTCAGTCACCGGGGCCGCTTTTGAGTCATACTGCCCCTGGAGAAACACACACACACACGAGGCTGAGCACGTCTCCCTGGAGGATATCTTTTTTTTTTTTTTGGTTGAGGGGTAACCAGGGACTGAACTCGGGGGCACTCGACCACTGAGCCACATCCCAGCCCTATTTTGTATTTTATTTAGAGACAGGGTCTCACTGAGTTGCTTAGCGCCTCGCCATTGCTGAGGCTGGCTCTGAACTTCGATCCTCCTGCCTCAGCCTCCGAGCCGTTGGGATTACAGGCATGTGCCACCGCGCCTGGCCAAGGTATCTTTAACTCTACAAATTCCCGTGGGAAGTACATTCTGATCTTTAACATACCTAAAAGTCACCCAATTCCTCATGTGGTTTAAATGAATGTTCTCTTATCCTGAATTTTTCCTTGTGAAAAACATATTTGGGAAAAAGTGTTTAAATGCATAAGGCAATTTAGAACCAATTATTACTGGAAGACTGATGCAGAGTTTTTGTGCCACCATTGTAAGTGGATGGTTTTTTTCCTCCAGTAACTCAAATGACTGCTCTCTGCCACTGTTTGACGAAGAGCCTTTGAACCTAAAAACAATTTTTTGCAGGCATCTGCTTTCCCGCATCTCCCTTCCACAGGCCCCTCCCCGCAGCCGTGTATCTCTACAGCATAATAAAGCTGGGAAAAAACTTGTCCCTCCCCAATATTCCTGGTATCCTGGCTTTTCTTTCTCTGCATTCATCTCCCAAAGAGCAAGATCTAGAGCTTTCTTTCCAAACTTGTGAGCTGTTAAAGGTGAGATTGTATCTTAGAACTGTCAGCGGAGCCAAGCTTGGACAGGTCTTAGAGAAAGGAGAAAATAAGAACAACGGAGAGTAAACTGCTTATTCGACGTACTGGCAGATGCCCGAGGTTTACATTGCTTTTGATTATACTGTACTAAGTACAAAAAGAATACGAAATGAAGAAGATGAAGATCCCTTTTCTTCCCATCTATTTCCTGGGGCCACCCAGGAATATACATTTCTTATATAAAGAAAGGCATATTTAGACAGGCACACCGTTAAGTTTGAATGTTTCTGTTAAGTGATAGTTTAAATATCACTTCTCAGGAAATTGTGAATGCTTGGCTTTTGCACAGGATAGGGATAGTTGATAATCCAGCCAAGTCTCCTGTTGATCCATTTTTAAATTTTACTTATCTAATTATTTTTGGTACTGGGGATTGAATCCAAGAGTGCTTTACCACTGAACTACATCCCCAGCCCTTTTAATTTTTGAGACAGGATCTCGCTAAGTTTGTGTAGAGCCTCCCTAAGTTGCTGAGGCTGGTCTCAAACTTGTGGTCCTCTTGCCTCGGTCTCCAGAGCTACTGGGATTACATGTATGCACCACTGCACCCAACTGATAGCATATTTTTAGCTTGATAACAAAAATTTTCTATAGGTTCTACCACAGTGACAATAGGATGTACCGAGAAATCCTGTTTAACTAAATGTCCTATTCAGGTGACATCTTTCACTTCTAGGAGAGAGAAATCTTTCTTCAGGGTGGGACTGCAGTCAAATTCAGGTGATTAATCTAGGAACAAAAGCTCCAGAAGTTTTAGATAATTGTGTATACTTCTCAGGTATGAGGCAGGAATCAGGAGTGGCTGGCTGGCTGTCCTTAGAAATTTGTAGTCCTGGCTGTGGTTGTGGCTCAGTGGTAGAGTGCTTGCCTAGCACGTGTGAGGCACTGGCTGAGCACGTCTCCCTTGAAGATATCTTTTTTTTTTTTTTGGTTGAGGGGTAACCAGGGACTGAACTCGGGGGTACTCGACACATAAAATAAGTTAAGAAAATAAAGTTATAGGGCTGGGGTTGTGGCTCAGTGGTAGAGTGCTCGCCTAGCACATGCGAGGCCCTGGGTTCGATCCTCAGCACCACACACAATAAATAAAATAAAAATATTGTATCCAACTACAACTAAAAAATAAATATTAAAAAAAAATAAAGTTATAGAAAAAAGAAAAAAAAAAGCTCTTTCTGGGGCTGAGGTTGTGGCTCAATGGTAGAGTGCTCACCTAGCAGGTGTGGGGCGCTGGGTTCCATACTCAGCATCACATAAAAATGAATAAATGAAGTAAAGGTATGGTGTCCAACTACAACAAAATATTTTTTTAAAAAGCTCTTTCTTAAACAAAAGAAGAAAATAAATTTGTAGTCCTGGGGCTAGGGATATAGCTCAGTTGGTAGAGAGCTTGCCTCGCATGCACAAGGCCCTGGGTTCAATTTCCAGCACCAGAAAAAAAAAAAAGAAAGAAATTTGTAATCCTGATATTAGTATCAGTCCCATTTTGCTCTGCTGGGAGGGTTTGTCTCTGGCTCTGTCTTGTTTTTTTGTGTGTTTTCCTCCCTCATCCCTCATTAACTTTTTTAGAGTACTTATCAGATCATATTCAGCTTCAGAAGGGAAGTGGTTTACTTTGCCAGTCCTAAATCCCCTTTCTACTCCCTTTGACACCACATACACACACACACACACACACACACACACCCAAAAAAATCAGGATGAGTCATTTAAACTTAATGAGTCTTTTTTATTTTTAAGGGAAAAAAAGTTTATATTGTGTTCTCAGATTGTATTTCTTCCATTTGTAGCTCGAGTTTTTTTCATACTGTTAAATGTTACTATAGTTTTCTTGAATTCTCCA